CGAACGCAACACTTCTAGTTTCAAACATCAACGCAAGTGATATCATGGTGGCTGTCGACAATGGATTAATTTTAATAAAGATTTGTAATAAAAATCCTTTTATTAAGGTTATCCAAACAGGATACTGTTATAGCAAAATGAAGAATGAAATGGTTACATTTATAACTATTTTATGAATTATTATTCTGATTATTATATATCATTATCACAGAATTACTATATAATTGGACTACAATTAACTTATATTCTCTTTATTTTCAGTCTTCGTCCGAGATATTAAACGTTTTTGTATGTTTTGTTATTCGTACATTATTGGTAATCAGTAGTTATTCACCCCTTTATATGTTCATTGTTTGTTTATGCATGTGCTGTGATTTCTATTTTAACCAATAATGAAGTCTACTACACTTGTATACAAATGCATGAATGCCGGAAATAATAATAACGGAAGCTTCCTGTTGTGTTCTCTTATTCAGACTCAATAATAAGAATGGAAGAATGGGTATTTTTCGTCGTCACTGTTCAAAAATATTTAGTTTAGCATAATGGTTTTACTGGTCACATGAAGTAGTTTCCTTGTAGATAGATTAGCGTACTAGGACCCGAAAAGAATTAAAATTAGATTTTAACTGATAAAATTTACGACTTATAGACTAAAGAAGTGCAAAGTAGTAGCCAGCATTGTTAATGTCAATAAGAACTAATTAATATTTATTTAGAAAAATCTTCTGGGACATATATTTATTTTCGTGCTAACTTGTCGAAAAATTTGTGTTCTAAATCAATAAAACAACGGGAAGATTCGAATATTTACTTAAAAATGATGCCCACATTTGTTGATTGCAAATAAATGATTATTTTTTTTTTGACATTTTTAAGGGAATATTAGCAGTTTTCATCGAATGAATATTATTTATAAAGTAGACCAACTAATAGACTTAGTCTGAAATTAAAGTCTTTGCTTTATTTTCCATTGCATTAAAAAAGTTTACAATAAAATAAATGTGAATAATTAAAAAAATATTGACAATATGAATAAAACATGTGAAAATCTCATTTTCAAATCTATTTACAGATTGCAGTTAACAATGATGATAAACACAAATCAAGTGCGTTTTTAATCATAAAAAAATTAATAGTAGTTTAACATAAAGTTGAATATCACAGGATAAGATTTTAGAAAAATAATCAGTAAAAAAAAAGAAACTCTTAAAAAACAACGGAGATTGTTAATTTTATTTTCATATCGAATTGACACATGTGGGGTAGATTATTATTCCATGATAGAAATTTGAACTGTTGAGCTACAATTATGTCAATATTGAATTCTACTTTATCAGGTAGGTTTAATTGCACACAGAATTTATGTTTGCGATTGCAGCTGAGAGAGTGATTTTGATGATGATGATGATGATGATGATGATGATGATGATGATGATGATGATGATGATGAAGATTGATAAAAGATCCAATGTTGTATCATAAATAAAATATTAAATGCCATTGATAAAATTCCTAATCCAAGTTTAGTAGGTGATCCAATTATACTGCTTAAATCATCTATGGGTAAGAAATTTTTAAAAAATACATAAGCTCATGAATTCATTTAAACTATAAGGGGTAATGCATATATGTTACTATATATATATATGTAAGAAAGAACAACATTGTAATGGTCAAGATGAATACATCCAGTGTATGTTCCAACAAAATTATACTGTACTACTTTGTAGCTGCTACCCATTAAAAAACAAATCAGTTATGTTTAACAATAAAATGTGCATAGCATTAGAACGATTGGGTACTTTGATTTTGTGAAATAAAAATACACATGCAACAGGTATTTTCTAAGAATTCATTTACGAGGAATATAATATCAGTAACTCCGCCTGTAGAATCTTCGGGGCTACTACCGGTCCCAAGCCCGGATAAAGGAGGAGGGTTGGGCATGGGGTTGGCGACTGCATCTCACCAAACAACTAAAAACGCTAACCAGAAAAAATAAATCAAACCATTTTAACTTTGCCCTGGGAGTTGGAAGAACAATTACGACGTCTCGTGATAAAAGCTGAGTTCCCACGGATTTCACGAGGCTGATGCCTCTTCTGACAACCACAGCAACCATTCTTTTAGGTACTTGGAACTTTTGACTACTGTGGCATACTGGAAGACTATTCCAAGTTGCGGCAGAAATGAAAAGATACAACCTCGAGGTGCTCGGCATCAGTGAAACGCATTGGACACAGGTAGGACAACTGAGACTAGCTTCAGGGGAACTGCTGTTATACTCTGGTCATGAAGAGGAAAATGCTTCACATACACAAGGAGTTGCACTGATGCTGTCCAAACAAGCACAAAAGGTACTGATAGGATGGGAATCTCATGGATCCAGGATCATTAAAGCATCCTTCAGCCAGGTAGCCCACATCTACCAACATGACTCAGTCCACTTGTCAGTGATTTCATGGATTTCTGACATGTTTTGGTTTGGCCACCCCATAGCTTTCTTCCAAACTACCCTTACACCACAAAACATCGCTCGTCGAGGTAGTCGGCGGTTGTTCATGCGTAACACATGTCCTAACCACCTCAACTGATGACGTTTCAATACTTCATCTATTGATCTTCCATCCTTACCTAGTAGTCGTTTCCTAACGACAGCATTGCTTACTCGGTTGTCCCAAGATAAACGAGCAATGCTTCGAGGAAAATTATAATCGGATACTAGTAATTTACGAATATTCTCTACTCTTACTGGCCATATTTCGCACCCATAAGTTAGGATAGAGCGAACTGTTGCATAGTACACTTATCCTTTGGTTAGCCAATGGATATCTCGTCTACGCCATAAGTGACGCAAGTTGACAAAAGCAAATCGAGCCATCTGTATCGGTGCTGAGATTTCGTCAGTCGCCAGGCAATCAGCACTGATGAGACTATCGAGAAAAGTGAGGCGGTCGAAACGTTCAACTAGTTCACTCCCTATCACCATTTCGGGTGCCGACGCAAGCCAATCTTGAAGCAACATTTTAAATTTCGAGGGGAAAAACCGCATGAATATAGTAAGCAATGTACACACATGCAGTCATATCAAAACAGTTAAGGTTACAAGGGAATAAACTGACTAGGTCAAAATACGTGTGAATAATGACTTAAGAAGAATAAATTCATTATTCTGATTGCAGTTAGAATAACCCACGAAGGCGTGGTCTAGTACTGGACTCTTCAATATACTTTAAGTTATCTAACTTTGATTGGTATATGAAAATTGAGTTAAACCATTTAGATATTAAAAATACAAACAGAATAAATGTCACTATTAAAGATTTGATTGTTTATCTCTTCTGTGAAAACGTGAAAAACGATTAAATCCCGGTAATCCATACAGGATAAACGTCTGCCAAAAGATAGTGATTAAAACTCAGTCAAGATTATTAGTACTGGGATAAATTTTATTCTTTCTAATTATGAGATAATTATCGAAACGTATGTGGCTATCTTGATACAGTAGCTAAGTAGACAACGCACTGGGCGTTTGATGAGAAAGGTAATCCGATCAAGTTCTCGAGTAAATACCTACATGAGGATGAAATTCTATCCACCTGACGAGTTTAGAATGAGATGAAACACTTGTCTGGGATTCCACTGTTAGCCACAAAGCCATCTATTCCATAAAAACAAAAATATGCTCAGAAAAGTTAATGAAATCTTAAATTTCTTGTTGTTCACAGAAATTGCTACTCACTGTTATTGTATGCTATAGTCACCATTTGTGCAATGGATAGGACTCCTCCAGAAAAATCTAATAAAGTAGGCGTATCCCATCCCTTTGCACTTTTGTGACGGAAATTGATGATAGCCTAAAAAATGTATGGAAAAGAAATTTTTGTAAGTTAATTCCCACTTATCTGAAGGTAAGTGTAGATCTAAGAGTAAGTATCTGTAGTTCTCACACTTGCTAAGATCTCCTTTCTTTGTTAACCTAATAAGATATCTTTCTTCATAGTTTGTCGGTACTTGCTATTCCTCTGGAATCATGCTGAATAAGGAAAGGAAAATCTTAGTGGTTACAGCTGTATCTACTTTCAGTGCTCCAGCTTGTGTTTTCTGTTCCTACCCATTTGCCGCTGTTGGTTTGTCTGGTGGCAATGCTGATCTCATCAATTGTTGGTGGGTCAAAATCAATTAGGAGATCCGTAGATGCTGCTTCTATGTTGGGTGGATTCAGTGTGGCCAGTCTATTCAAGAGTTCTATGAAGTGCTTTGCCTACCTATTTCGCATTTCATTAATGTCAGTTATTGGTTCGCCTTCCTTACTTCTCACTGATCATTCTGGTTTATGATATTTTCCAGCTATCGTACGACTGTCGCAAGTTCCTTTCGCTTGCAGCCTTTCCCGCCATCGTTACTAGATCTTCCACCTATTTCCGTTTGTCAACTCTAATGCTCCTCTTCACTTACTTGTTTGCTTTAGTGTATCCAGCTTAAGCCTTGGCTTTTTCTGCTCTTGTTCGGCTGATGTTGATTACTGCCTTCTTGTTCCTCCTCTCTTGAATCTTATCCAGAGTATCCATGGAGATCCATTCCTTGTGATAGTGCTTCCTTCGGCCCAGAATCTCATGATATGACGAAGTTATGGTTTCTTTAATATCTTCTCAGTTGTTCTCCGTGGTAGTTTCCTCTTCACTTAGGCGATGGTGCATGGCCTGGAACTTATTGCTGAGAGCTATCTTGATATCACAGAGTTTGCTCGAGTTCCGAAAAAACACTATTAAACTTTTGTGATGCTGTTCACCCATTTTTCCAGCGTTTCTTTAGTCTCAGTTTCATCTCGGCCACAAACAAGTGATAATCTGAAGCCTATGTCAGCTCTTCTTTTGGTTCTTACGTCCTTCATGGTCCTTCTGTACTTACTCTTATTGCAGTTGTGGTTCTGTGTAGTGTGGTCCGGTCAATCCTATGTAGCTTTTTCCATGCGTTTGTGTGAGAATATGGTGCTGCCTGTGACCAGTTTGTTTGCTTAGCTCTCATCGTTTTGGTTCCTTTCTCCCAGTCTATGTAACCCCATAATCTCTTCATATCCAATGTTATGGATTCCAACCTTGGCGATTAGGTCTCCCATCAAAATGGTAAAATCCTTTGTAGGGAATTTCTCTGTGGTTGACTGCAGCCTGAAACGAAAATAATCTCTAGGTTCTTGTAGTAGTTTGAGTCGGCGTATGACTATGAACACATCTACAAACCAATAATGTTCTGGTCCTATAGCTCGTAATTCCGTCGAGAATTAGTAACAAGCAAGAAGGGATATGGGTGAAAGGATGCAGAACAGCAAAAGTTAGATAGCGGCCGCGCAACAGTAAAGTCAGTTATAGAAGTGCAAATAAAGAAGAAGTTCAGTAAAACAACCACTGGTACAATCGGTTATAATATTGAATGTTTCTGTTTAACAGATCGCGTTTTCTTCGTAAAAGTGGAATCGCTACAGTCTTCACTGCCATCGTTGGTAGGCGCATAGCACAGGATGACATTCGTTGTAATACCTGCTTCCTTGTTTTGAAAGATGCTTTGATGATGCTAGGTCAATTAGATCCCCATCCGATCAGTGCATTTTGTGCTTGTTTGGATAGAATTAGTGCAACTCCTCGTTTGATGCATTATCTTCTTTATGACCACAGTTCAGCCGCTACTCTCTTGAAGCTATTCTTTGTTGTCTAGCTTGTTTTCATTGAGATTCATTTTTTACAAGCACCACCTCGTTGCACTATTTTTTTATGTCCACACCTAATTGAATAGTTCTGCCTGTCTGCGATATGGTGTAAAGATTACATGTACCTATAATAATTGTTGCACCGGTTGTGAGAAATGGCCTCAGCCTCGTGACTTCCGAAGAAACTTGGCTTTCCCCGTAAGGCTTCATAACTCTTCTAAATTAAAAATATTCAACTCCTGTAGCAGAGATTCAGAGTTACAAATTATGTTTTTGGTTCTCGTATATTCAGAAAATTTGTATTCCATGGGTTGGATCTGCTAACGTCAACTCTCATCCTTAACGGGAGGTCGCGACCAGCAAGAATACCACAAGAGTTCTAGGCAGAGTTATGGAGATCTTCACTGCTTATATGAGAAAGTAAAAGTAAATATGTGCAAGCTGGTGATATGTGAATTATATCATACATCAAAATTGGAAAGTATGCACTAATGTAAAACGATTTCCGTAACATTTTCATTTAAAGGTAGTATAGGATTTGATTTGACATTGAAAGTTACACGGCAACGCATTGATGAAGATGCTTGAAGTGGTTGATTAGCTGAAGTGAGTATATACTAAAATGTATCAATCAAATCGATGTTGTTCATGTACTAGAGAATTATCTGCCACCAGTTTTAACTTTTACATGACAATCAAATACTTGTGGACCACTTAATCATAGGGATTACTTGTGTTCGATCCACAAATTATGAATCAAAGTGTAATAACTTCAGAAGACCTAGTAAGGAGAATAATGAAGACGATGGTGTAGACTGAGCACTCTTCAGCATTGAATCAGTCCAATGACTCATCCCTTACCGAATATAAAGTGTCTCTTTGAAGATTGTCCAAATGACATTACAGGATACAATGGCGTGTTTGTGAGAATGACAAAACATAGTGAATTAAATAAAAGTTTAGAATATTTTTCAGGTTGAATAATTGAGATCGATGGTTTTATTCAAGTCAGGATGTGCTGACTGGTTATCTCTGTTGCATGAAACGTCATGATTCATGAATATCCATGGATCGTTAGTAAATGAAAATTAGGCTTCTATTTATGTCTTTCCGTTGAAATCATACTTTAACAGACTGTACATGATTCATGCAAAGGCATAAATCGACAATTAAGTGCCTTTCAGAATAACATACTAAGTTTCATAGTGTGATGAAACAAGTAAAATTGACCAATAAAATTCCACTTTTTCTTCAAGAATCCTACCTGAGATGCGTATTTAATGAATGAAGTGAACAGGTTAATATAAGATAACATGTACAATGTATCCAGCCAATCGACGACATCAGTCCAACCCAGAATACAAAAGATCACTGAATAGATAAATAATGAAACAAGTATTCCCACACATATCTTCGACACACGTTGACCACCACGCTGAAATGATAAAAGAGAGCACAAATGCAAGTGAACTAAATTATTTTTAAAAGTTTAGATCACATGATTTTATTGAGGGTTGTTGAACTGTGGATCAGTAGATTTGGAAAATCAACTGAGTTACGGTAGAGCTGACTGAAAGCTTTGGACAACTCAGAAAACCGTTAACTCGACCATCAAGTGATGTAATCTAGACAACTGTTGAAATCTAAAAAGAACTAGACTGCAGTTCTATTGTATTACGCGACTTCTGAGTAATGCCAGCACGACATGCTATTACTGAATGAAATACAAGGTCTTCAAAGTTTGAGAGGAGTAGAGATTGACAGTGATTGACATTTATAGTTACAGTCAACTCCGCACAAACTCCTAATAGGAATAACACCTTTATCTCAACGATAACTAGTCTTATAATGTATTTCAAAACACTGACTAATTGAATTCAGCCATATTAGTATAAAGTTGATAATTCATCGAATTTTATTGTGTCTTGACTAAGGTTAGTAATGTAAATTGTTGTATACTAAATCTGAAACAGTTGATCAATGTTCCGCAATTTCCAACTGTTGCCTAGATTTAGCCATTGAACGAAGTATACTACAAACTGAATAATCTCCATACATATCTTATTTCAATAACTCAAATAGATAAGACTGTGGAAGAAATAATCAGACTTGAGATACTGGAAGTTGTGCACCGAATTCAATCATCCATATTGGTAAATAGTGCTCATACATTATGTCATTTTGTGATGAACATGCTTGGTACATTTTTTGTGGACTGTCATGATTACTCTACTGTTACTGATTCAATGCATTAGTCAACTGTAAACAATCTCAATGATTTCAAAAGAAATACTTCATCATTTTTATGACTTGAAATGATATTGGGAAAGCATTTGTTGGACATACCTTATAGACGAAAATTTGAAAAATCGTCAACAATGAAATAATGAATGCATGAATGCTGAATGCCAAATCATTTATCATCACTGGTATTGAACCGAGACGATTTCTTGTCAAATATTGTTTCTTTATATGAGAATAATAAAAACAGATACATCGTTATATGAAATCACTGAAAATAATATTGGCATAAATTAATTTGATGTTTTGATGACAGTGAATACCTAACTATGTTGAGTTTCCGTGAACATCATTTTGTACTGGTAATAGCCATGGTCGTAGTAAAGTCTGCAGTTTGAACAAGTATCTCTTGTACACGCACAATCTGATACTATTAAGTAATAAGATAAGTGTAATGTTGACAGGATCTGTGAATAACCATGACTTTTATGTTGTAATAGTGGAAATCGATGTAAACAGACAGACACAGGTTTCATCGGTTAGTACCACGTTTTTGTCCATCCAAACTGGATTACTTCATTAAATTTCCTCCATTACGCACGACATTTTCTTACAGTCGTTACTATGTGCTCAGGTTGACAGTTTCATCAACTATGTTCAGAGTCATAGATTATACAACAAATTACTATCCAAAATAATATTGTCAGGAGTAGAAAGCAGTGAAAAGCAACAAGTTCTAAGCAAGAACGATTACTGAATTTATGTATTTGACTGTAACAAATCAACGGGAATCGAGTATGAGTATCGTTGTATTTCATTTCAATGGTCTTATTGTTAAGTTCTCTCTTGCAGTCCTGACGGTTCTTAGTTCAACCTGTGCTGTGCTTACGGTTATGCAATAATGAGGATTCTCACAGTGCAAAGGAACAGAACAAACCTGAATAAGTGGAATCCAATACAAACCAATATTGTAGATATTGTAGAAGAAATATCCAACCACATTGAACACAGCAAAGTCGAAGTCGAATCCAACCACACTGAGATAGGAAACACAATGATAATAATAACATTAATAATAATTTATTCAGTGATCCGACGACATATTAGCAGAAATAGGTAAAACTTGGTTGATGTGATGATATGACGTGGGTTGACAGAATTGTGTGGTGCATTCGCTCAATACATTTTAAAAAATTTGACCACAAATATACTTCTAAAGTCAATATTTGTGAAAATGTTGAAAGGTCACAAGACAAATTATAAGGCTGGGAGAGACAATAGTCATTAAAAGGTAGGTTTGTTGCAAGAAAAATTAACTTTGAACACGTGGAAAGGGATCGTATTTCCGTATAAAAAAGGCTTCAATAAGCTCTAATATTTGCTCTTGAACACTTTCGGATAACACCAGGAGGGCTGACTTGATTTGAACTTCACGGGATAGAAATTATCTGATGTATGTTGTTCCTCAGTGTACATCCAAGTTGAAATGACGATAATTAGAGTTGGACGTGCCTTTTATTTGTGTGTAAGTACCAATCTTCCACTAACTACCCAGTTGAAAACTGGTTTAAATTCAGTGATAAACGTACAATGATAACAAAATGAAATTTATTGAAAACAATGTGACAAAAATACTATTTCACTGTAGAGTTGAATGATCTGCCAATTCGAAATAAATGTTACACTGTAAAACTCAACAACTACCTTCTTCGTTTGCAGTTCATAATTAATTGAGGGTAGAATGAGATTGTCCAAGCAGCAAAGTAAAGCCAACCCATCACCATTTGAAGTGTATATAAAGAGCGTTGGCGTACCACAGTTATATGACACAGTGGCTTTTCTGCACTACAAGTTGAAATTAACAAAATAACTTGATGTAATGAATGCGTTGTTAGTTACCAAAAATAAATTGATATTTTAATGAAATTAAATTACAGTTGCATCGCTTTCCACCAGCTAAGCCTGAGAAATGAAGGTAGTCGGTTTCTTCAAACTTAATCTACATGGGTCCAGCAATAAGCCTCAACCATAAGTCATCGGTTTCGAGATTTTTATGTAGGGAGATAAAAGCTTCGGTGGACTTCACTGACTAAAGTTTCTAAGGCATACGAAGAGGAGCAAAATTCTGACTTATTCCCATTTAGTTATCGCCAATTATGAAGAAATATGTTTTCTGAGTGAACTGATTTGATGAATATATTTTGACGATACAGAAAGCAAGGGCAATCGATTATTTTCGCCAACTTGTTCATCGGACTTTATAGTCAGAAAACTAAAGTTTTACATTAGACAGAGTATCAAGTTCTTTCTTAGTTGGTTTGAAAATGTCATACATGCATCAGAGCAGGGAAGAGATGAAGTACGTGATCTGTTCACTCAACAGGACCTGAAAGACGATGGTCGACTGTGAACACTTTGATTGACTAAAATAATGGCCAGAGTTTTGAAGCTGAACATCCTCTCATCTGACCAGCATCGACAGTCAGTTATCACAGTCTATAAGAAGAGAGGAATCCTGTTTTGTTTATCACAGGATGATCAGTTTGTCTAAAATGGTGTGCAAATATTAGCCTTAAGAGCAACTCGATGCTTATCTGTTGCTTTGGAATATTAGTATTGAGAAAACTCAGTTGGATTCAGACATGAACGTGGGTGTATCTGTCGAATATTTATTCCGAGTTGTGATTTGTGAATGTTGGAATGTTTGAAGGTGTTATTCGAAACGAACCAGGACATGTTTCGGTACTGTTACTCAGTTAACGTTGTGGCGAACAAGTGAGTAAACGTCGTGGTGAGTACACAGGACTACATTCTGTCGTACGAGTGTGTCGAACATTATTGGTGAAAGTAGAGGATGTAAATGGTCTGCAGGTTCCTGGAAATGGATAACTTTCAAACACTGCAATCATATTTTAGCACCATTGAGCGAGTAATGTTGAGATTAGAAATTCAGTACCACACAAACATGATGAATCACCTGATCGGACTGGGAATCTCTATGATTGATGTGTTTGAGATTAGCTTCACGCATGCACAACCAACACTACCTAATACTTGAGATAAAGTAGTGTAAGAGCAAGTGATTGAAACAAGACTCATTGTCAGTCCATGAAACCATTAACTGTTGAACCAGGTCATGTAAGTGGATAGCAGGTGCCTTGTCGAGCTTCATCAGATAACAATGATTATTGGTATAAGACATAATGTGACATTAGTTTAGAACAGCGTTCGTTAACATTTGTTCGCTCACCTTCTCTGTCGCTTATGTTCTTATTTTGACTTCAGTCAATCAACGTGCATACAATTTTTTTTGGTTAATTGAAAAATGAGTTGCAATGATTTTTATCAGTTTTGCGAAATAGATGTGAATGTCAGAAAGCAATTAGAATGAAATGTGTGAAGAATGATTTCACAAAAAGCATCACAACGTCATTCTGACATTTTCCGGTGTAAGTAAATAGAAGTATCAAAATATCGTATGATTTCTCGGATGATTACAAAACCGTACTATTGTGGTATGGTCTGATTATATAGGTAATAATAATAATAATAAAAGTATTGCCAAATATTTGCGTCAACAACACAGGTTGCACCCATCGTATCGATTTTATACTCATATCTTCTAATATCGATTGCTCGTATCATGTCATACTGGAACAAAACATTGACCTCTTAATTTTTGTCACCAGATGTTTACTTGAATATTACTGTACTTTTTTAGATGTTTACATTTTAACCATCAAGTAACTAAGTTTAGCAGTTTCTCAAAACTCTGATAATGTACAATATATCTTTCTTATTCTGCTGCCGCATTGTTTGGTAACAGCAAAACACAAAACTTCATGATAATCAATCTCACATAGTGTTTATGCCACGATCATATGGACAAAACAAAGAAGAAAATCAATTTTGTTATCACTATGTTCACGCCGCATCACAATTATTAATTAAAACGTATCACATCTTTTTAATTCTGAATAAATACGAGAGTATAAAACTAAATTTTACTCACTTTACAACTGATATTTGTTTACTAGATTTAATTCCTAAACTTATAAAACCAATTGACTTAGGAACAATTAAGATTTTGAATGCACTTGAATATTTTCTGTCTATATGAAGTTTACCAATCGGTCGGATTATAGAATGTTTCATCTTATCTAATGAAATGTTTATGCCATCACGATCCCAATATTGTGATTCAAATTCTGCCCAATAACCTATTGTTGCACTAATTATGAATTGTAAGAAATAAAAAAGAAAACACTGAACTATAGATGACGTACAATAACAAAACTTATACTGATATTGATCAGTAAATAATGAAAAAGTTATCAATATTTACTGTGAAAATCATGCAAACTCAATGTGATGAATAGTGGATTATAAGCAAAATTCATGTTGTTTTGTTGTTACTGATGACTGAAAATGATCAAAAACTGTTTATCGTTCAAAATTTGTTATCAAATAATTGTAAAATGTCGTAAAATATAAGTTGAACATGTAGACTATGTTCATTGATCAAGTTAGACATTAACGCCGTTACCTACCGGCTTAGTGGTCCGATGGTTAGGCGTTCGCCTACAGTACCGAAGGTCCTGGGTTCGAATTCTGCGGGGAGCAGGAGTCGTGGATGCGCACTGCTGAGGAGTCACATACCAGGACGAAACGGCCGTCCATTGCTTCCAGGTTTCTAATGGTGGTCTAACATTGATCGATTCATGGTTTCAAAAAAAAACTTAACAATCTTCACAACAACCTCGTAATGTATATTTATATCCGTGAATTTTAAATTAGGGTATCTGGATACAATTGAACAACTTGCAGTGTAAACGAGCATTACAGGATAAATGAATGTTTAATGTACAAACTTAGCGCAGTTATCATTATTCATAGTTATTGGTATGAAATTTTGTGAAACTGGCTTAAACTGGTTAAACAAGCTTCGATCGTGCAAACATGTAGTCTGATGACAGACTGCAAACATGTTTCCCTCTTTTTCATCATTCATAATTTAAATTGCATCATTGTTATACAAATAGGAAAACTGTTATAATCAAACAATGAATCAGTCATTACGTTTTTTAAAACTTTTTTAAGCGAATGTTATGGTATTTCATGATAAAATCTAAATCTTTAATGATTTCAATGCTATGACATCAAAATTCTGTTACCTAAATATTTTGGTCAGTCAGTCAGTCAGTCAGATGCAACGTAGAACTTCGTACGTAAGTACATCAGTTCATGTTGCCATACCACATCAGCACAAAGATATAATTGTCAATTCAAATCCAATAGTAGAAGAGGTAGTAAAGGTATTAGAAGTTACTGGAGAGGTTAGGATTAAAAGATATTATTCAAGAAGTATGATTGAGTGAGATAAGTTTAGAAAGACAAAACTAGAGATGTTGAAGAATCCAGAAGATTAAGATTTGAGAGGACACAAAGAATAAATGCACCGGCAGCATTGCAAACGGTTTTGAGCCATATCATTCAGGGTATCTAACCATCGATTATTATCGTCTCGCGGACCCCAACCAGGTAGTCGACAATTACCGACATGGCTCAGTCCACTCGTCAATGACTTCATGGATTTCTGCCATGTTTTGATTTGGCCGCCCCTAACTTTCTTCCAACCTACTCCTACACTACAAAACAAAGTTCGTCGAGGCAGTCGGTGGTTGGGCATACGCAACACATGTCCCAACCACCTCAACTGATGAAGTTTCACCACTTCATCTATTGATCTGTCATCTTTACCTAGTACTCGTTTCCTAACGACAGCATTGCTCACTCGGTGTGGGCAGCCGGGAAGTGACAACCGCCCTCATACCCGTAACAAATATTTTGGTAACCCATAATGTTGATGGATTAATTTACCAGAGGAAAAACTGGAGACTATAATGGTTTGTGAAAGCTTGATATTTGTGTTAGACATGTGATCACAGTTATGTGAGACAATTTATGAAATCTTGAAGTTCGGCATAATAATTGCTTGAAAGCAATGGTAGTTCGAATTTAAAAGTTTATAGATAAAACTGTTTTACTTGTAAGAATTTCAATTTCATTAGGAATAATTAAGTGCTCTATTCTAATTATAATACGAAAGCTTGACGGGCGTTCATTGTGTTTTTGTTTTTTCAACTACTAATCCACTTTCAGCCGCTGAAGCTAGTATCTATAACATACCGGCAGTTATCCAATCTTACGCAGAATTAAGGTTGATACAAATTTGGATCAGTTCAAATTGTCACACTACGTCAACACAGTTGTACAAGCAGTAATAGTACCCTCGTTTGTCGGAAATACTTGGTTTAGAGAATATAATCTGTGAAAATATTCAAATATCGCAGAAAAATATATTCTTTTCAATAACAAATCTGTGCCACATTGAACGATTGTGAGCCATGATGTTCTTTAGTTACGATAATCAAATGAGTCAGGTAAAAATATAGAAAGCAGACAAACTTGGCGAACACCACTTTAAGTTGTTAGTCCTTATCAAAGTTCCTCATGAGCTGTGACTAAACCAGTAGTGATTGAACAGAGGACCTAAATGAAAATGATGTGTTTTCATGGTATGTCCTTCAGTGGCAGATGCCAACACAATTCCTATTGGTCAGTAAGGTCGAATACGACCTACGTTCGAGAACAACAACTATGGTTGGGAGTCAGTAGGTATGTCTATGTTGCAGAGCCTGACGAAAGGTGGACTCTCAATCTGGACCTCTATAGCAAGGTCTGAAACTAACCTAGTTTTGAAATCATAGATTAGGGTCTGAAGATTTTTGAGGCTAATGTTTCAGACATTATACTATTAAAAATGATTCCACTGGGATCATCATAAGAGTATTTCTATTTATTATTTTAGGCCGAGCTGGTGAGCAATCGAGATCAGACATATGAAATTACATTTACTCATTAGATTCTTTTTAATAAATCTGTCAACCCGACAGACAGAACGGGACCACCATTCATAAATATTGTTGGATTTTATCCAGCAGATCCTGATGCTCTCCATTACTTTAGATTAGCCTCTCCTTACTCAAATTCATTAAAAGTCGAAGGGGAAACACTTACCGTGATTCCCATTTAGGCTGTTTATCTGCAGTAGGCGACTAGCAGGTAGCTAATGATCAACTAAACTATCTTTTATGGCACTTAATTCACTAGTTTAGTCTTCTGACCTCAAAAGCGACCAATACCCGCACATATTTTCAAAAAGTTATCGTATCTCTAATGCTTTTGATACCTGTTTTTGGTTAGCTGGCTAGTAAAAGAGACCTGCTGGCATCTGATAATATGCTGTTAGATGATTAACAGCTAGTCATGTTGTTTTAATAACAGCTAACGGAGATTCAGTCTCATCGCCTTGATTGATGGTAGATTTCCGGGGTCCTCATGCATACGATATCCTTGTTTCCGCTAAAAGTCAATATCGGAACTTAGTGCCATACGTACGCCACCTAAGCCGCGAAGATGGCAGTCGATTAATCGAAAACATGGAGAGTAAGTCGTAAAAGACTTCTGTATTGCATAGGTTATTCAAATTAAGACCACAGTTAGATTGTTTATGCGTATTTTTGAGACTCAGCATACACCGATAACATGAAACGCTGGGGTCCTAGTTAATGAAACTGGTTGCTTTATTTGATCTAATGTCGAGATATTAATCAAAAAATTCAGTACACTTAGAGAAGTATAAGTTGTGGCTATTAATTACTAAACAAGTCTTTCCAAACTGTTCTGTGACGAACGACTAAAACAATTAAATCTTTTAATCTTATCGCAGGACGTAATGTGACTTAATAATACCATTGCGTATCTATCTACTATCCGCGTTATTGAAGATTGGAAGCTCCGAAGTGTTGTTCAAAGTGCAGTTTCAAGAGACTAGAATTAACGAAGTGGTAAAGTTTCATTCTCTCATAGTGGTCGACGGAATCCGATAAATGATAAGGCGATTCAGCTAGAGGCAAAAAACTCGAGTGCCATCAGTAGAATTAGGGTGTCGCAATCAAACAAGTTATTGGGAAACTGAACGATGACTTTAAATGATAAAATTCTTGAACATAAACGAAACGATTTTCAATTCATTAAATGATTAAATATTAAACAAGATAAAATTAAACGAAACTGAGGAAAAGATGACTTGATTTTTTGAGATAAAGCTAACACTGTCTATCTATTCATCTGTCCACCAAATGAAAAAAGCTAATTCACCATTGTTTCAAATTGCCAGTGAGTTGTAACTGGTGTTTACGCATAGTGAGACGTCCCAGTTTTTATAACATTGACATGAAAACCGACCAGAGATTACACATGATTTTGGCGCTTAGACGGACTTTAGTGTTCAAAGATCTCTAACTCGAAAAACGAATTACTGGACATATCAGTTATACTTTTGCATCTGGGAGCTTAACTGGGAGTAACAGCTTCCTACTGAATACTGCTAATTTGTACACGAATATTGTTAAGCACTGTCAACTTCTAATTTTCAGATAATGAAGGTTTGAGAAAACTAAAAACGGTTCATTGATAAAGAACCTTGAAAACGGTTAATGAAAGAACAATTATTAGAAGTTCATCAAGTCTTCATCCCATCAAATATTTTTATTCCAAGCTTTATCTGACTAAAGACTGCTTTTATATCATATTGCAGTTTCTTCAGTCATATCCGATTGCGTGAACGTCTTTTGCCCTACTCGAATAACTGCTATTGTTATTGCAAGCCGATATAGACCAAGTGGATTCTTTTCGTTCATTTCATGTTGTTTTGACACATCATTTATCTTTCGCCTTAGAAGAGTATTGTTCTTATGCTAGTATTATAAGTCAATGAAGCCTGTAACACTGCCTAAAGATTCGGCTTTTAAACATTTCATCAATATTTGGCTAACAAAACGAAATCAATGCTTACCTCAATCCTATAAGTATTGATTCAGGTCTACCAAGCTCCAAATAAACTGATTCTGGATGATAAAAAACTTCGTACATTTTTTCAGTCAGAAGAATATCACAGAAGACAGAAAGAAGAGATAAAGCGAAAATGAAGCGCATAGTCATTACTATTTTTCAAGTGTGTTGTGTGATCAGGAGAGCAACTCTTGCTAATTGGAAAATATAAACAAAATTGGAGTCATAGAAACAGGAGGAAAAATTTGGCTTTGTTCTACTAGAAGATTAAATATTTCCTGGATATACCTACATGTTAACTTGTGGTGCATTGGAAAAATGATGAGTTATGTTCACAGACACTACTGACGACTTCGACAAAGAAAAATATCCGATATCTTTTTACAAGCTAGTATAAACCAGTTGATTTCTTCTCATTGCATTCTTGTTCTTTCGTATAGTTCCAGACACTTGGTTGTGTCCAAATGATGATCGTCTAGCCTCTCGATTGCAATGATTAGAGTCATTTGGCACTTTTTTATGAATTTGTATGCTCCATACTTTAAATGCGTTTGTTTCGGAGCAGGAGGTTTCTGGATACCATCAGCTATTACATAACCAAGCCATGGGTTAGTTAGTTGCAATGTGGAGAACTATTAGGAGAATATCCTAATGCTAATTAGATTTTAGAACAATGTAAATAAATAATCAAGCTAAAAAATTGGTGGTGAATATTGTTCGAGAGGACATTGGTGTAAGCAAGGTGGAGGAAATAGAGTTAATATGTGACACAAATTAGGTTAGTGATCCGTGAAAATGGCAGCTACAAAAGCTATAAAGTTTTGAGACATACATCGGCCATAGTTGGTCCACGAGTGAGATTTTAGTCTGTGTGTGAGCTACCCACTAAGGGGACTTTGCTGAACCTAGTGGGGGGAACATTCCAGATTTCATCGTCTCTAAATGTGAAGACTTGTGCACGATCCTGAGTGTTCGCTTTTTATGCGCAGTGTTCCCAGGATTACTTCACAGGACTTGGCAGTGACGTTTCTTCAAAATGCTATTTTTGGGGTTATGTGGCGTGCTTTCTCGAACACCACTATCAGATCACTTCTCCGTTTTCATAGCATTCGTTTTCCAAACCTATCACTTATTGAATTGCACGTCTCTGCACTGGATCAAGGAGATTTGTGTCCCTTATTGAGAGTTTGAAGACCATGTGAACCTCAAGATGTGGGCATGCGAATGTGTTAAACGGTGTTCGGAATATTTTTGGGGTTATTGCACCAAGTTATTTTCTCATAAAACTAATAATTGCATTAGCTTTGGCTGTGCCCCTTTTACAATTCAAGCTATTGCGTTGGTCTTCTGTGGTTAATAAGCCAAGACTACATGTAAATGAGACATTAGGGATGTTAGTTGTATGTTCACGTTGGGCAGAACGTACAGAATGTGAGATTTCGGCTGATTAAGTTTTAAGCCGTTTTCCGCTACCCATTCCTTATTAGATGTGAGGTCCTCTTGGAAATCAGTTGCATCCTCTTCACTTCCAATGGACCTTCAGATCTTTGCATCGTCTGCGAGGATTAGTGCCACTGAGCTAATTTTATCTAACAAGTCAGCAAGAGGACTGGAACCAAGATTATGATGATTAAATCATCATTAATTAACTCTTGGCTTTGAGGCTCGACATCTCGCACAGACCCTCATTACCTTGGCGCGAAACTTTCTGTTCTGAGCCAAGGTAGAATTTAATCAGTGAAGCCCATCTATGCAACTTACATAATCAGGTATACGTGAGGTACTGTGTCGAAATCTCTTCAGAAGTCAAGGAATTTTATATGAACCGGTAGTTTTTGATCGTATCAGGTTGTCCAACTTTGAGAAGATTGGTTGTATATGACCTGCCTTTTTTATGACGCACACCGAACGACATTATAGTAGGGTGTATGATCGCATAGTGAGTCAAAATAGCTAATATTGTTTCGGATGATGACTAGCAAATTTCTGTCAAAACTCTAACCAGGACATTTTTCAATTGAAAAACCTTGAAAAATTCTTCTTAGGTGTTTTGATACTATTTAAAGTTTTACGTGGTGGTAATTTCACATGTATGAAGAAAACACTATTGAATAATACGAAACATACATCAATATAAACAACTGTGGACGTTTTGCCGAATATTATGTTTATTCACACCTCTGTGCTAAACCGCTTCTGCACGGTCGCCATCTTGCTTTCGCTGTTCCGCACATTACGCCCACTTTCGCTGGTACGATTTCGACATTATTTTGATAACACTAAGTCGCCAGCATATATATTTATTTTATCTGGACAGTCCCAGTCTCCTTTCTTATGATTCACGACGGAAGGCCATTATAAATGCACAAAATAGATGGTTGACCACCATTAACAACCCCCAACACAAGACATGAAGGTAATAGTCTCGATTACTGAACTCACTGCACAGGCAACAAACCTGCAGAAGCTAGTTCCCACAGAAGTGGCTAACTCAGTTTGAAAAACGTGTTCGAAAATCCGACAACGGCTGTTGCTCAAGAGGTGCCTCAGATGATGAGACAAATCTACAGATGCCCCTACATTTACGTAAGATGACTAAGGGGTAAGCTGTTAGAATTCAGGAATGTGTGCTCTCAGGTGTATCTGAAGACAACTTGGTGCCATCACCACACAATTATTCTTAACGTATTTTAATACATATGTGCGCCCTCACCTTGATGTTCACAACTTCGTCGCATCCCTCATCTTAAAAGAAACATAAACCATTTGGAGCGAGTGTAGAGAGGATCAACGAAATGCGTAATAGGGTTGAAAGATAAAGCTTACGAGGATAGACTCCAGGATTTGCGATTGTTCCAACTAAATTACAGGAGAATCAGAGGTGACCTGATCATGGCGGACAATCTATTAATTACACAATATCATCCGAACGTGAGCATCTTACCGATCCACCACCACTCAACTCGAGATAATCCTCGAAAAATTGTGCATCCGATAGCGATTACTCAGGTTTGTGCACAGGTTTTCTCATTAAGAGTCGTTGAGACTTGGAATGCTCTCCCAGACCAGGTGACCACAGTACTCTCGGTGGACAGGTTTAGGGAGAGACTGATAAACAGGTACTCGCACATGGATTATCATCTCCCTCGTGGACAAGCTGTGCCTCATGAACGTCTTCAGACCTGCTATTTGTAATTACTGTCATCTCAGATCATTAACTTAATCTATCTCTATTATTATCTGTTTCCTCTACCTTTAGTCCTCTCGCACAATCTTCACTACCAGTTATTAAACTAATTTATCTATTTGTTTGTTTGTCCCTGAAATCTTAATAGTATCAGACGTTTCTCCATATTATTCTCCAAATTGAAACTAATTGAATTACGGCCTGGTAATGTGATAGCTGCCGGTATTCAGAAACTCCACTGCCATGAAACAAACGTATTCCTTGGAATAACGGGATATAGAAACTCACAAACAACAGTCAACTGACTAGGATTAACGAGGTCGAGTGGCTAGACCGAATCACCTGGAACCGTACGGAAAGACCAGGAATGGAGTGCGAAGAAATCAATTGGTTTATATTAGCTCGTGAAACAGATATTGGACATTAGATGTATGATGATACTTGGGACCGGAATGGTTTTGTTTTGTAGACGTGTTCATAGTCCTTCGACTGGAACTACTACAACATCATGGAGTTATCATGCGCAAAAATTTATTGAGATTCGCCAATCATAGGACAGAGATTTTGTTATGATATGGAACTCCTCAACAGTTATCATCCTCGACCGGACTGATGATGGAACGCAGGGACATTTTTCCCATACTAACGTATGTTGACAAAACGTTATTTGATAGAGCTAATCTAATATTTTGTTATTCTCCGCCAGTCAAGAAGATGAATTAGTAATAGATAATTAATCGAGACGTACTTAAATCAAATGTATACTTTACAGGCATATGTGCGTTGCTTTGAGGCCGTACTTTTGAGAGGTTGGTATTTTCACTGACATATCACAAAGAAGCACTCACATGCTGCTAACGCTTGTTAAAGAACAGTATTAACGAACTACAACTGTAGATCATTAGTTGCTTCCGTCGATCGGGTTAGGTAGCTAATTTGGAATGCTAATGTACGGTGAAGTGCAACCATAAGCGCTAATCGACAAGCTAACGCTGTAAGAACAAGTATGAAAGCCATCATTGTAGTTTGCGTAATTTAAAGTCCTGATCGCCGGTGTGGATCACTAACGTAGTTGACCTGTGTAGATGGTGGCGGCCCCACTCAAGTTGAAAGTGTATGGTGTAACATCTTAGTGTTTATGGAAGTCACATTTTGAGGTCAATGAATACCCTGGATTTTAACATTGCGATAACAAAGTGGCTCGTTTGGATAAATACTCGCAAGAGGTGAGAGCATATTTTACTGTCAGGAGTTAACTGAGGTACATAGTGGTATCAACGTCGCATGCGCCCGTCCACGGCGCAATCGAATGAAGTGCGTTGGTTGTTCTAGACCCTGATGAAGATCGTTAAACTGCTTGAAATTCATTGACCGGCCTGTCAGTTGAATTAGCCATTACTGATATGCATCGGCGAAATAAAAGCATTCTTCTCTGGACTTGATGTTGGTTGTCATCCATTGTAGTTAGTTGTATGAAAACGATTAGCGACTTGGAGCCAGAATTTTCATCTAGGACATAGTTCCTCCGCTGACATTGGGCATCACACATATCTGGTTCTGCTAGTTAGTTACTTGGTGAAACCTGTGCTGTAGTGACTGGGGTGGTTTCGAAGAGCTCGTGTGCTCTGCAAAACTTAGTATAAGCCTTTTTAGATAAACTAGCTTACCAAACGCCTAATAACCTGAAGGTTTCATTGAAGACATGCTTGCCACAGTCCATTGAGCTGGTGCGTGTTATGCTGCCTGTGAAACCTTGGACCCTGAGACGTAATGAAAAAACCTGTTATGATTTATAACTATGAAGTTCCTGAGAATATTTGAAGTAGGAATAAACAACATAAATGTTAGACAGAGCTCGTAAGTTTGGTTAACATTTAGTGACATAATATAATAGTTTTACATGTTGTTGAAGCTAAGATTGACTAACTCGAATAGATTGTCAGTTATTCTGTGATTCATAAACACAGTTCACAGTTATTTAACTTTAACTGTCAGTAAGTAGTATATTGTCTATTGTGTTGTGGAATGATCTAATGATAAGATGGGTAGAATTCCTAGCTTCAATTGTGTGAAGTTCTTTGAGTTCTTGAATTTAAATTCCGACCGGGGGATTTGAAGCCTAGGATAGTTTCTTCTTTTGTAACGCTCTGTTCAAATGAACTTAAAGTTTAGCGCGAATATTTCAAGACGCCAACATGCAGTAAAACCAGCAACTGTCTTAAGTAACGGCACACAAAAATTGAACTCAAATGCAGCGCACTTGTAAATAGACAAATGGAATGTATTAAAATGTTAATATGAGTTCCTTTTGAAGACTAGTTCCCTTGTCTTACAAATCCTAACCTAATCAGTATGTTAAATCTGCATTCATCCACTTACGTAAGGTGATAAAAAAGATTTCAAAGTAGATTTTATTGCAGGATTCTTCAGAGAGTTGAAGCCGTTGTAGCGTCATCTAGTCAGCGGCTGAAGCACATTGTATAACTGCAGTTTTGAATGTTTCTGTGGTGTTTGAATGAACTAGTGACTTCTTGGTTGTTGTGGTTGAATGCTTGATTTCGAATTCTAAATACAGCACATTCGTTCGTGCTCATCTCGTAGTTCTTGATCCACTTAAGTTATTTCTGGGCTTATTAGTTCATCCTAAAATACAAATACTTCTAATTATCATATTGGCGTCGCGATGGAGCTTGTAATGGAACAGTTAGATATTCATTCAACTTCTGAAGCTTTTGAGGATTATTTGGAAAGGTTTGAAATCCGGAGAATGACCAAGAAAGATGGTAAAGATGATAAAATCGTGGCTCATTTCCTGACATTCATCGGAAAAGAAGCTTATTAAAAACTTCGGCATGTCCAGAAAAACCTATCTCACTTCCCTATGCAATGCTTCAGGAGTGATGATTAAATTATTAAGTGCACTAGTTTTGAATGCCGTGAAAGGGCGAAATTTCATAAGATGATTCGTCAAAATGACCAAAAGGTTAAGGAATTCACTATTGTTACTGATCATGAGGCTTTACAGTTTATTTATCATCCTGAAAAATCCTTAGCACGTGCCTCAGCTGCTATGGTTCAACGATGGAGTATTGCTTTGAGTGCCTACGACTATACGGTTCAGCACAGGAGTGCCAAGCAAATTCAACATGTTGACTACATTTCTCGACAGTCATTACAAGATAAACCTGTTAATACTTCAGACTGTTTGTTGGTGCAACCTTTACCAGTGAAACGTCCAGATCTCATTAGAGAAACTCGTAGAAACTTTGGATGTATAATTAATGGTATACGGAAAGGTTGGAATGCTAATCTGAAACGTAGATTCCCTATCTATTTTTCAAAGCGGGATGAGCTATCCACCACTCCTGATGGTATTTTGTGTTTAAATGATCGTGTTGTTATTCCTCCTTCATTGTGTAAAGCTGTCCTGGAAGATCTTCATAGTGGACATTTAGGTGTTGAGAAAATGAAGTCCTTGGCGAGGCTCACGTGTTGGTGGCCAGAGATAAATGCAGATATTTGTCGTACAGAAAACAATTGCGTAAAGTGTCACAAGCTGAAAAATCAGCATTCGAAGTAGACTTCATGGCCAGTATCGTCGGAGGCCTGGCAGAGAATTCATGCAGACTATTGTGGCCCGTTTCTTGGCAAATACTATGCGCTTGTAGTCATTGATTCTTTTTCAAAGTCAGGACGTTGAAAACTGCTATTGATTCTATTGCCGCCTCAACATTTAATGAGCTGGAGAGGGAAGTAGATACCTTTCTACTGCAATATAGAAATGCCAGACATTCGGTGACGAAAGAGACTACATCAAAGCTATTAAAAGGAAGAATTCTTCGGTCGAATATGAGATGTTTGGAGTCTGCAGAAGTTACATATTATCATGGCAATGATCTTCGACCATCCACGGGGATTGTTCTGAAGAATGTCGGGAAATCTATGGTGCGACTTCTAGATATCAATGACTTAAGTACACACAATCGATATGTTGATCAAATACAATTCCAGGAACCAGGTGAGTCTGTCCCAATTTCGCTTTTTAATTCTAATACTAATGAGAGCATTCTAGATAATACAGAGTCTTTATCCAATACACTGTCGGACAGACACAGGATGAACTTGAGAAGGAGACGTACAATTGATTACAGACACTTTGATTCCAATTTAAGCTGTGGCGGATGTGGTGTTTGAATGAACTAGGGACTTCTTGGTTGTTGTTGAATGCTTGATTTCGAATTCTAAATACAGCACATTCGTTCGTGCTCATCTCGTAGTTCTTGATCCACTTAAGTTATTTCCGGGATTATTAGTTTTTCCCAAAATACAAATACTTCTAATTATCATAGTTTCATATAGTGCACTTTCAGGTACTTGGTCTATCGAATATTCTACTTGGTGGCAATGTCAATCGGTAGTGGATCTACTATATTTGAGTATCTGGTTACTTGAAGTTCTGTACCATGTGCCATAAACATAATAAACATATATTACATCAACTTAAAGGATAAAAGTGACCAAAAAATTACAATTTTATACTTAGTCAGTTACAACATTCAGGTTATCTAACACTACGCTATTAATTTTGCGCAAAAATATACTAGACGTTACCTTCATTCTGATTAGTTTACTCAACGGCATCGGTATAATACACTTTTACTTAAATCTTCATTATTTTTGAAAATTTTATTTTCTTTTGCTATGAACGCTTTTAAACATGTATATAACCCTAATATTTCAAGGTAATTGCTTCTAATCGATGAGATTATGTATTACGTTAAGCATGAATTTTGTTATAATCATGTTTAACATTAAGTGTATGTATGCATCTCTGAATATTTTGATTTGATACATAAGAAAATGGCTGAGGTAGTAAGTTTAACATTTGCTTGACTATAACATTCTGTTGCAAGTTGACATAATGATATTGAATGAACTGTACAATGTACTGTTCACAAATCGATAATATTTCCAAGTGAAATAAATAAACTTTCTCCCAATTTGCACAAGTAATGTGAAACAACTAATAGATTTAATCTGAAATTAAAGTCTTTGCTTTATTTCCATTGCCTTAAAAAAGTTTACAACAAAGTAAATATGAATAGTTAAAACATATTGACAATATGAATAAAACATGTGAAAATCTCATTTTCAAATCTATTTACAAGTTGCAGTTAACAATGATGATAAACACAAATCAAGTGCGTTTTTAATAATAAAAAAATTAATAGTAGTTTAACATAAAGTTGAATATCACAGGATAAGATTTTTAAGAAATAATCAGTAGAAAAAATGAAACTCTTAAAAAAAAATCGGAGATTGTCAATTTTATTTTCATATGGAATTGACACATGTGGGGTAGATTATTATTCCATGATAGAAATTTGAACTGTTGAGCTACAATTATCTCAATATTGAATTCTACTTCATCAGGTAGGTTTAATTGCACACACAATTTATGTTTGCGATTGCAGCTGAGAGAGTGATTTTGATGATGATGATGATGAAGATTGATAAAAGATCCAATGTTGTATCATAAATAAAATATTAAATGCCATTGATAAAATTCCTAATACAAGTTTCTCAGGTGATCCAGTTATACTGCTGAAATCATCTATAGAATTAATATATAAAGGAATTTTAAAATCATCATTTTATGACAGCGAACTCATTAATCGCCACTCTTTATATAAGACAAATTGTCTATATACAATGAAACGTATTTTACTTTTTTACTTACTTACTAACATCAATCAGTATTCTCCACTTTATTCTGTTCTGAGTCTTCCTTTCCATTTCTGTTTAACTTTTGTTCATTTTTCTCATGTTTATCTTCATTTCTCTGTGTGATGTGTTCCACAGCCTTCCTCTTTTCCTGGAACATTGAAGGTTCCAAGAAAGGGCTTGTCTTGTGACGCATTTAGGGCCTTTCCTCAGTGTGTCCTATCAACTTTTAGTGCTTCTTCCTGATTTATTCCTCCGCAGGATTTCTGTCTGTTCTCTCCCGCAGTAGGTTGTTACTGATGGTGTTTGGACAGCGAATCCGAAGCATATTGCGTAGGTAACTGTTAATTAGCAATTGTATCTGCTGGATGATGGCCTTGGTAATTCTCCAAGTTTCTACCCCAAACAGTAGAACTGTCTTGACCTTTGTATTGAAAATCCTGATTTTGGTGTTTCTTGATAGTTGTTTGAATCCCACATGCTATTCCATTGTAGAAATGCAGCACTCACTTTCCCGATCCGCTTCTTCACATCTCCATCAGTTTTAATTTGCTCATCGGTGATGCTATCCATATATGTAAAGGTTTTTAGTGTCGAAGAAGCCTCCATGGTGTTGTTCTTTCCACAATAACAAATTCTTCCTCGTAATCAATGAAGTTGATGTAGAGTGGTGAGTTCCATTCAATTGATTGTTTCACAATGATCCGTAATGTAGCAATTTGGTTAATACACGATCGATCGTTACGAAATGCAGCCTATTGATCTCGAAGCTGGACGTCTACGAAGTTCTTTTCTGTGGTATTTTGATGGGGTATTCTGCTTTTTAGTCTTATGGTACTTGGCTATCATCCTAAATATTGTTGAAGAGAATGTTGAGTATCTTTGCAGCTGCTGCCACGTCTGCTATCATTGCCTTTACTGGAATGTTGTCTGGTCCTGCTGCTTTGCCACTCCTAGTTTGTCTGATGGTAATACTGATCTCTTCAATTGATGGTGGGTCAACATCGATTGGGAGGTTCGTGAATGCTGCTTCGATGTTGGGTGAATTCAGTATGGCCAGTGATTACTTTGCATTCCTTGCTTTTCACTGGTCGTTCTGGTTTACAATAGTTTCCGTGACGTATTCAAACTAAGTAAAACATGTTATTCTCATTTTTTATTCAAAATACATTTATGTATGCAGATATTCTTTAGTAACTGATTTACAGCAAAAACCATATTATTTCAGGTAATATATATGTATTTGCTAAACTGGGAATATTCAAGGTTTAATTATTGGTTTGAATTGTTTTATTGTAGCGAGACCGTGAAGTGATTAAAGTTAGATAACCTCTGAACATGTGATAAGATTTTGTAATCACCTCAGTCTAGTACGAGGCTCATCAGAAGTTCACACTTACGATGTTGATATTAAAAACCGAACACAGAAAGGTTGTGTAACTTAAATCAGAACATGATCTCAATGAAATACACGATTTAAATTAAAAGTATCGTCATATTTGTCGTATTATTTGTGTGATACATTGAAAATACAAGCAGAAATACAATTAGAATGAAGTGTGATATTTCTCGTCGTTAATAAAAATTAACATTTACCGTTATTGTACGCTGAAATCAATAACTGTGAAATACTAAAAACTCCGGCAGCGAAATCTAACATAACATAATCTATACTCCAGCCTTCTGTACTTTTACGACGGAAATTCATAAAAGCCTAAATTTAAGTTTAAGAAAAATAAAGGATAAATCTGTGTAAGTTAATCCGTATTCAATAGAGAATAAATGTGAAAATGATTTCAAGAACATTCCTTAAAGCCACAATAACCAATGATTAAAAACTGATATCTATAATTAATCACTAACAAAATTATGAGGAGTTGTTACTGATAAAGGTAAGTCACTTAAGTACTGGGACAGAAATGAATTTTTGCTGTATCATACATTGATTGAACTTAGCACAAATGCACAAATCTACATCGATTTGAGTAACACTTCAATTTAAAGATAGTATAGGATTTGATTTGACATTGAAAGTTACACGGCAACGCATTGATGAAGATGCTTGAAGTGGTTGATTAGCTGAAGTGAGTATATACTAAAATGTATCAATCAAATCGATGTTGTTCATGTACTAAAGAATTATCTGCCACCAGTTTTAACTTTTACGTGACAATCAAATACTTGTGGACCACTTAATCATAGGGATTACTTGTGTTCGATCCACAAATTATGAATTAAAGTGTAATAACTTCAGAAGACCTAGTAAGGAGAATAATGAAGACGATGGTATAGACTGAGCATTCTTCAGCATTGAATCAGTACAATGACTCATCCCTTACCGAATATAAAGTGTCTCTTTGAAGATTGTCCAAATGACCTGGCAGCATACAATGGCGTGTTTGTGAGAATGACAAAACATAGTGAAGTAAATAAAAGTTTAGAATATTTTTAAGTTTGAATAATTGAGATCGATGGTTTTATTCAAGTCAGGATGTGCTGACTGGTTATCTCTGTTGCATGAAACGTCATGATTCATGAATATTCATGGATCGTTAGTAAATGAAAATTAGGCTTCTATTTATGTCTTTCCGTCGAAATCATACTTCAGCAGACTGTACATGACTCATGCAAAGGCATAAATCGACTATTAAGTGCCTTTCAGATTAACATACTAAGTTTCATAGTGTGATGAAACAAGTAAAATTGACCAATAAAATTCCACTTTTTCTTCAAGAATCCTACCTGAGGTGCATATTTAATGAGTGAAGTGAACAGGTTAATATAAGATAACATGTACAATGTATCCAGCCATTGGACGATCTCAATCCCACTCAGAATACAAAAGATCACTGAATAGATAAATAATGAAACAAGTATTCCCACACATATTTTCGACACACGTTGACCACCACGCTGAAATGATAAAAGATAGCACAAATGCAAGTGAACTAAATTATTTTTAAAAGTTTAGATCACATGATTTTATTGAGGGTTGTTGAACTGTGGATCAGTAGATTTGGAAAATCAACTGAGTTACGGTAGAGCTGACTGAAAGTTTCGGCCAACTCAGAAAACCGTTGACTCGATCATCAAGTGATGTAATCTAGACAACTGTTGAAATCTAAAAAGAACTAGACTGCAGTTCTATTGTACAACGCGACTTCTGAGTAATGCCAGCACCACATATTATTATGGGACGAAATACAAGGTCTTCAAAGTTTCGGATGAGTAGTAATCCAATGATTGACATTCATAGGTACAGTCAACTCTGCACAAACTCCTAATAGGAATAACACCTTTATCTCAACGATAACTAGTCTTATAATGTATTTCAAAACACTGACTAATTGAATTCAGCCATATTAGTATAAAGTTGATAATTCATCGAATTTTATTGTGTTTTGACTAAGGTTAGTAATGTAAATTGTTGTATACTAAATCTGAAACAGTTGATCAATGTTCCGCAATTTCCAACTGTTGCCTAGATATAGCCATTGAACGAAGTATACTACAAACTGAATAATCTCCATACATATCTTATTTCAATAACTCAAATAGATAAGACTGTGGAAGAAATAATCAAATTTGAGATATTGGAAGTTGTGCATCGAATTCATTCATCCATATTGGTAAATAGTGCTCATACATTATGTCATTTTGTGCTGAACATGCTTGGTACATTTTTTGTGGACTGTCATGATTACTCTACTGTCACTGATTCAATGCATTAGTCAAGTGTAAACAATCTCAATGATTTCAAAAGAAATAGTTCACCATTTTTATGACTTGAAATGATATTGGGAAAGCATTTGTTGGACATACCTTATAGACGAAAATTTGAAAAATCGTCAACAATGAAATAGTGAATGCATGAATGCTGAATGCCAAATCATTTATCATCACTGGTATTGAACCGAGACGATTTCTTGTCAAATATTGTTTCTTCATATGAGAATAATAAAAACAGATACATCGTTATATGAAATCACTGAAAATAATGTTGGAATAAATTAATTTGATGTTTTGATGACAGTGAATACCTAAAACTATGTTGAGTTTCCGTGAACATCGTTTTGTACTGGTAATAGTCATGGTCGTAGTAAAGTGTGCAGTTTGAACAAGTATCTCTTGTACACGCACAATCTGATACTATTAAGTAATAAGATAAGTGTAATGTTGACAGGACCTGTGAATAACCATGACTTTTATGTTTGTTTTTGTCAATCCAAATTGGATTACTTCATTAAATTTCCTCCATTACGCACGGCATTTTCTTCCAGTCGTTACTATGTGCTCAGGTTGACAGTTTCATCAACTATGTTCAGAGTCATAGATTATACAATAAATTATAATCCAAAATAATATTGTCAGGAGTAGAAAGCAGTGAAAAGCAACAAGTTCTAAGCAAGAACGATCACTGAATTTATGTATTTGACTGTAACGAATCGACGGAAATCGAATATTTAAGTATCGTTGTATTTCATTTCAATGGTCTTATTGTTAAGTTCTCTCTTGCATTCCTGACGGTTCTTAGTTCAACCTGTGCTGTGGTTACGGTTATGCAATAATGAGGATTCGCACAGTGCAAAGGAACAGAACAAACCTGAATAAGTGGAATCCAATACAAACCAATATTGTAGATATTGTAGAAGAAATATCCAACCACATTGAACACAGCAAAGTCGAAGTTGAATCCAACCACACTGAGATAGGAAACACAATGATAATAATAACAACAATAATAATTTATTCAGTGATCCGACGACATATTAGCAGAAAAAGGTAAAACTTGGTTAATGTGATGAGATGAGGTGGGTTGACAGAATTGTGTGATGCATTCGCTCAATACATTTTGAAAAATTTGACCACGAATATACTTCTCAAATCAATATTTGTGAAAAAATTGAAAGGTCACAAGACAAATTAGAAGGCTGGGAGAGACAGTAGTCATTATAAAGTATGTTTGTTGCAAGAAAAATTAACTTTGAACACGTGGAAAGGGATCGTATTTCCATATAAATAATGCTTGAATAAGCTCTAATATTTGCCCTTGAACACTTTCGGAAAACACCACAAGGTCTGACTTGATTTGAACTTCACGGGATAGAAATTATCTGATGTATGTTGTTCCTCAGTGTACATCCAAGTTGAAATGACGATAATTAGAGTTGGACGTGCCTTTTATTTGTGTGTAAGTACCAATCTTCCACTCACTGGACAGTTGAAAACTAGTTTACATTCAGTGATAAACGTACAATGATAACAAAATGAAATTTATTTAAAAATAGTGACTAAAATACTATTTCACTGTAGAGTTGAATGATCTGCCAATTCGAAATAAATGTTACACTGTAAAACTCAACAACTACCTTCTTCGTTTGCAGTTCATAATTAATTGAGGGTAGAATGAGATTGTCCAAGCAGCAAAGTAAAGCCAACCCATCACCATTTGAAGTGTATACAAAGAGCGTTGGCGTACCACAGTTATATGACACAGTGGCTTTTCTGTACTACAAGTTGATATTAATAAAATAACTTGATGTAATGAATGCGTTGTTAGTTAGCAGAAATAAATTGAAATTTTAATGAAATTAAATTACAGTTGCATCGCTTTCCACCAGCTAAGCCTGAGAAATGAAGGTAGTCGGTTTCTTCAAACTGAATCTACATGGGTCCAGCAATAAGCCTCAACCATCAACGTAATCTCATCTGACCAGCATCGACAGTCAGTTATCACAGTCTATAAGAAGAGAGGAATCCTGTTTTGTTCATCACAGGATGATCAGTTTGTCTAATGTGGTGTGCGAATATTAGCCTAAAGAGCAACTCCATGCTTATCTGTTCTTTTGCAATATTAGTATTGCGGAAAATCAGCATGATTCAGACATGAACGTGGGTGTATCTGTCAAATATTTATTCCGAGTTGTGATTTGTGAATGTTGGAATGTTTGAAGGTGTTATTCGAAACGAACCAGGACATGTTTCAGTACTGTTACTCAGTTAACGTTGTGACGAACAAGTGAGTAAACATTGTGGTGAGTACACAGGACTGCATTCTATCGTAGGAGAGCGTCGAACATTATTGGTGAAAGTAAAGGATGTAAATGGTCTGCAGGTTCCTGGAAATGGATAACTTTCAAACAGTGCAATCATGTTTTAGCACCATTGAGCGAGTAATGTTGAGATTAGGAATTCAGTACCACACAAACATGATGAATCACCTGATCGGACTGGGAATCTCTATGATTGATGTGTTTGAGATCAGCTTCACGCATGCACAACCAACACTACCTAATACTTGAGATAAAGTAGTGTAAGAGTAAGTGACATGTGTGCTAGGGTTGGTTGAAACAAGACGCATTGTCAGTCCATGAAACCATTAACTGTTGAACCAGGTCATGTAAGTAGATAGCAGATACCTTGTCGAGGTTCATCAGATAATAATGATAATTGGTATGAGACATAATGTGACATTAGTTTAGAACACCGTTCGTTAACGTTTGTTCGCTCACCTTCTCTGTCGTTTATGTTCTTATTTTGACTTCAGTCAATCAACGTGCATATAATTTTTTTTGGTTAATTAAAAAGTGGGTTGCAAAGATTTTTAGTAGTTTTGCGAAATAGATGTAAATGTCAGAAAGCAATTAGAAGTAAATGTGTGAAGAATGATTTCACAAAAAGCATCATAACGTCATTCTGACATTTTCCGGTGTAAGTGAATAGAAGTATCAAAATATCGTATGATTTCTCGGATGATTACAAAACCGTACTATTGTGGTATGGTCTGATTATATAGGTATTAATAATGAAAGTATTGCCAAATATTTGCGTCAACAACACAGATTGCACCCATCATATTGATTTTATACTCATATCTTCTAATATCGATTGCTCGTATCATGTCATACTGAAACAAAACATTGACCTCTTAATTTTTGTCACCAGATGTTTACTTGAATATTACTGTACTTTTTTAGATGTTTACATTTTAACCATCAAGTAACTAAGTTTAGCAGTTTCTCAAAACTCTGATAATGTACAATATATCTTTCTTTCTCTGCTGCCGCATTGTTTGGTAACAGCAAAACACAAAACTTCATGATAATCAATCTCACATAGTGTTTATGCGACGATCATATGGACAAAACAAAGCGGAAAATCAATTTTGTTATCACTATGTTCACGCCGCATCACAATTATTGAGTGAATAAATATGAGGGTATAAAACTAAAGTTTACTCACTTTACAATCGTTATATCTTTATTAGATTTAATTCCTAAACTTATAAAACCGATTGACTTGGGAATAACTATGATGTCATTGGGGCTCCATTGATTTAATTCCACTTTTATTGTATCGATTGGACGAATGGCGAAGTGACCTAACTCGTTTGTTGGAAAGAGATTTCTATTTTTATCCCAATATTCTACTTCAAGATCTGTCCATCTGCTTGCCGTATCACTATGTATAGATTTTGAAAAATGAAAAAGCAAACTCAAATGATTTTGAAGCAGCATAACAAAATTTTTACTAAGATTGATTAGTAAATTATGAAACTGCCATCAGAATTCACCGTGAAAAATTGTGTTATATAAGCAATATCATGTTGTTTTGTTATAACTGTTGACTGAAAATGATCAAAAACTGTTTTATTCAAAATCTGTTACCAAATAATTGTAAAATGTCGTAAAATATAAGTTGAACGTGTAGACTATATTCATATCCATGAATTTTAAATTAAGGTATCTGGATACAATTGAAGAACTTGCAATGTAAACAAAGGATACAGGATAAATGAATGTTTGATTTGCAAACTACGCGCAGTTGTTATAAATCATAGTTATTGATGTGAAATTGTTTGAAACTGTCTTAAACTATTTAAACAAGTTTTGATTTTGTGAACTTATGGTCTACTGACAAACTGCAGTTCTGCTCAACTGATGATTGTTAGCAAACATCTGCAGAAAAATTCACGGAAGTATCAGTTATATACATGAAATGTATGACAAGCGTTAGTTAGTCATTAACTGTTGATAATCAATGTTTTTATTATTATTCTGCCACAAGAAGATAATAAAATTAAACATGAGTTTACACTTTAGCCAGTAGGTTTCCTATTCCTTTAAAGGGACTTAAATATTTTTTGCATTATCAGAATGCAAGTGTTCAGTTGGTTAAAATTTAGGACATTTTATTGAATCATATTGAGTTGTTGCAATCAGAAATTGTTTTATAAATATACTAAACTTAAGTTAATGCTAAATATGTGTTCTAAAATAAGACACTAAATATAATTGGATTACAATATAACTAATTTTGGTTTAGAAAATGTTTCTAAATTTGATCGACTTTCTTGTGCACAAATAAAAAGAGTAGACATTATCAAGTACTTATGTTGTAACGGTTGTTTAGATATTTCCCGGCTAAATCTTATTGCTTAGTATTCTTGACACAAAACACTGGACAAGTAACCCAAATCAAAAAACGGTTGAACAGGAAGGATTGTATTCCGAAATAGCAAGGAATAAGAAGCTGGAGGTGATGGCGAAAGCCAAGGCAAAGAATGCAAAGATCAATACAATGCAAGTCTATTTATAGCCTTTACATGAGAAAGCTTCTGGAAGAAAATTCACGTGATCAACTGGACTGGATTTGACCAATCAGCATGAAGCTAATAATACGAGAATTTTCTATCCTGTTCTCCAAGCTTCGATCAGGCGCTGATTGGATAGGAATTCAGCCAATCAGTGCGTAGCGACGTAGTCATGCTTTAATTCCATCTATGTCCCACTAACACAGACAAAATATTACTTATTCAGCACATGGAGGCGGTTGACTTTAGAAGTTCTTTAAAAAATGGTTTTCTGAGTGGAGTGAAATGTTCGTTGTCGAACACCTTTTAGGTACGAGTCAATGTAAAGTTGATGCTGGAGTGTTTTAGGTGCAGAAAATTCTCAGAGCACTCTTTATATTGTTCATTGTCGAACAGTGCTTACGTTTATATAGAGGTTATAGTGTATGTTTCTTAGTTGTGTCCCCTTAATGTTCAGCGTCAGAAACAATATGGAATGTGTGGTTGAGAAGTTTGCAAAGATGGGACAGTAGGATATTCAATCGATGCTTATCGCTTTTAGTCCCCAAACTTAGATTTTTACTCACATTTCTTCATAACAGAATCTAATTTAAAACTACAATATAACTTTTTTAATAAGTTTTATTATTATTTTTTATTTTAAATTGCCCCTTCAGAATTGGCCAGAAAGCTAACACCAACAACCGCATCTGGTATAAGCATTCACAAAACTTAAGAAATCGGTAGATAGTCTTAAACCAATAGCTTACAGAGAAAAAGTCCCTTAAAGCTAATTATTTTTTTAATTTAGTGCATGACTTATGACAAGAAAATGAAAACACGCCTTTACGAACTAAAATATACATCTGTATCAAGCTGAGCATCACTGATGGCGTACAAGAATAGTTTAAAGACGTAGAAACAAATGAATATCAAAAGATAATCCTTAATTCATAAGTGTTTTAAGATTGTAACGATTCAAGTTCAAACTATTCTCTAACGAATATACATGGCTTGAAGAAGTAATAGATAGGACTGACTAATGTTTATACAAGTTTTTCTGGCCCAGAAAATGAAATATGTTTAATCGAAAAGCTTTCATATTGTTGGAGTCTTGGAAACATTACTTAGGTTAAACAGAAGTGAGGATGAAAGATAACTGAGAGTTTTTCTTCTCGCCAGAACCGGAAAAATCAACTGTACGGGTAAACAAGGGCAATACGTTTCCTAAAACCTATCTTGTTCTTACAAGCTACAGAGACAGTAATGAGCAATAACGCCCCGAAGTTCTGAATGCAGAATAAATGATTTGCTCCCAAATTATCTGTGAACCTGGTCGAAAAGGCGTACGAATCTTCCAATGCATGACTTGACTTCACACTCTATATATTTGGATAACTTAGAGCCACGATTATCAAAAAATATCCTGGTTATAAATAACTTTTAACCACAATTTCACAAGCCTCGATCCAGTTCACTACTGGTCCAGCTAGATATGACACGACAAGTCATAGACAAACATAGGATTGAGCAACAAGTCAAAGAAGGAGACAATCAGAATAAGAACGCAGATAACGACTGATTGAAGGTCAGTAACAGCCAATTAAGATATGGGTCAACAGGACAAACTACGAGTCATACGTGCAGAAATTCGAATAATTCACTTCTGTCTGAAGTTTGTATTGATGATGTTGTTCAGGAGAACAACTCATACTTCAAAACCAAAACATTCACCTCACAGAATGCAACTCAATTAAAGTGTATGGAGGCTTAATACTGTCCTAAGTTTTTTATAAACTCAAAGTGGTAATTTCGGTCAGACTAAGTACCTTCTTTTATAGGAAAAAGTGATCTCGTAGTCACCATAATAAAGGAGTTTTTGAGCTGGTCCTTTTGTGCAGACTTATCGGTCCCTTCTTATATACGCAAGAAACATACAAACTTTCAGACTCAAAATCGTCCATTGAAGTATCCATAAGTTGCCCCCAGAAGTTTTACCTCCGTTTATCTTGAAATTTTATACCATGAACAGTCCCAAAGAAGTTGAAGCATATTCACCTCTGGATAAGTGGGAAGGTCAGACGTGGGAACAGTGCAACTGGTTTTGGTGCAGTGGAGGATAAAGAACTCTATGAAGTGACTCAGTATAGTTATACCACTACAATCCTAATTGTTCGAAAAGAATATAAATTTCATCTTCCAGAATATGCATTCACGTTGTCGAAGAAACTATCCCAACATATCAATTACACAACTTTCTGATTGCGAGAGGGAGATAATGACAGTCGTTTAAGGATGTAAAATCATTGAGTGTTTCCCACATTGACTTTAAAGAAAGACTCTGATAAGGCCCCATATAATGTAATCTGTGCGACCTGGGAGCTTGTACATTTCAAAAGAAGTGGATCTAATTAGTTCCAAGTGCTCCTTTTTAAAACCAATACTTATTAAGGTACACTGAGACTCCATTTTAAATGATTAACTTTTTAAAACCTTTAACAGAATGAACGTCGGTGTATCGTGAAGGTAAACCTAATCAAAATACATTTAGGAAGGCTAACATTTGTCTGATATACACTGATGTTAGACTCCCGTACGATGGCTTGAAATGCTGTTTATGCCTGTCTACGCAATCACAGTTGTTTACACACAAGTTGAACATGCAAACACTAATAACCTCAAAACAGTGAAAATCAAAGTACTTTTAATTTCATCTGAAAATGATCTAAAAGCAATATTAGGCTCAGATCCTAAAGTCATAGCTCGTTGCTATTTGATTGTATCTAAACAGTTCATAACGTCCTGGACATTTATCAAGTTGAATAAGAATATATTCACAAACTTTAACATAGCAATAGTAAAATGCAATCATGCAATAACGCTTACAAGGCACAAGCCCTTTCGTAAAAGACATAGAATAACCATTCATGCAACTGCAGAATCATAAACATTGCTGTATATAATATCGTTCATCAAATAATGTCTTTGCCCTATATTGTTGAAGAATAAAATAATGTTCGACCTTTTTTATGTACATTTTTAGTAAATTATTTTGGAAGAGATAAGCTATGTGTTGCTAATAAACTCAAAATGAATTAAGAAAAGATGTAGTGGAAACGTTTAGTGTCCAGAGAGAGCACAATACCACGATATCTAAAATCACCTGTCAAGTAGCTATAAATTGGAATTCACAATCAAAGGGATATAGTTACCCTGAGGAATCTGTGGTAATTTAATGAAGTCTTAATTGGTATCTATAAGTGTCGCTCATGATAGATATATTATGTGCACTTGATTCAAGAAGACATAATTATAGATATGTTCATTATTGGGCTTACTTCAATCCTATGTATAATGTTTCATATTCATTTTGTTGCAGAATAATTGAACTGGGTTCAAAATAAACCTCGTATGATTCGGGAGCCTCAGATAATCCCCAGGCGGATGAAAGGAAGAATAAAACCAATGACTCACGCAATGCCATGATCATTTCATAAGTATGATATCTTAATGTGTTTAGTACAAATTTCTCATTTATGAATACAAACAAAAATGTACAACATAATAATGGGTGAAAATACCCATCCAAACTCAAGTTTCCTGACAACATCTAAGAGAAATTGACTATTCACTGATTTCATGCAAGTAAAAACGGTGGTGTTGTGTTTGAAAACAGTGAATTAGGTTTTCTTTATCACCATTAAGGTCTGCAGTAAGGGGCCATATTCTTCAGCTTGAAGGTTGTCGCAGATCAAAACACACTTTTCTGACGAATGACCATCTCGTATTCTGTTCACAGTAAGAAAATGTACTATTAAACCATACCACTGTTGTCAGTTAAAATGTATCAGCAGAAACATTGTTTCTGAATTTCTGGATACCAGCAGCTGTCACGTTACCAGGCCGGAGATCAGTTAGTTGCAGTGTGCAGAATAATATGGAGAAAATTCTGATTCTAATATGAAGATTTCAGATGTAAATAAACAAATGGATAACTTAGTTTAATAACTGGTAGTGAAGATTGTGCGAGAGGACTAAATGTAGAGGAAACAGATAATAATAGAGATAGATTAAGTTAATGATCTGAGATGACAGTAACTACAACCAGCAGGTCTGAAGACGTTCATTAGGCACAGCTTGTCCACGAGGGAGATGATAATCCGTGTGCGAGTACATGTTTGTCAGTCTCTCCTTAAACATGTCCACTGAGAGTACGGTGGTCACCTCGTCTGGGAGAGGATTCCAAGTCTCAACGACTCTTAATGAGAAAACTTGTGCACAAACCTGAGTAATCGCTCTCCGATGCACAAATTCTCGAGGATTACCTCGACTGGAGTGGTGGTGCATCGGTAAGATGATATGGTGTAATTAATATATTGTCCGCCATGATCAGGTCACCTCTGATTCTCCCGTAATTTAGGTGGAACATTCCCAAACGCTGGAGTCTATCATCGTAAGCTTTATCTTTCAACCCTATTACGCATTTCGTTGATCCTCTCTACACTCGCTCCAAATGGTTTATGTTTCTTTTAAGATGAGGGATGCGACGACGTTGTGAACATCAAGGTGAGGGCGCACATACGTATTAAAATACGATAAGAATAATTGTGGGGTGATTGCACCAAGTTGTCTTCGCATAAAATGAGGAGATGCTTTAACCTTGGCTGCGTCGCCTATGTAGTTTGGGTTTGTAAGGAAGTTTTCAGTGGTTATCAAACGGAGATCGCGTTCTGAGGAGAGAGTTGGGAACGCACTTCCACTGTGGGAGTAAATCGTTTGCGTCATAAGGGGTAGAATGAACATGACGTGACATTTCGGCTTGTTTGGTTTTGTACCCTTTTTCACTGTCCTTTCCTTAATTGATTTAAGGTCCTTTTGAAGCTAGGTCTAGTCATCTTCGCTTCTAATGGACCTCCAGATCTTTTATTCGTCTGAGTAGATCAATGCTATTGAGCTAGCTTTGTACTCAATTTACTAGGTCTGAAATAAGTCCAGTATAACCCAAGCCATTAAGTGTAAACATGCTTGAACATTACTGTGTATGTGTAGCTACTTGGTTTAGTTGATTGCTGAAGTTGGTTTTTATGATCTCAGCCATTTCTGGGTTCATAAGATCCTTGCCTTTTGGACCTTTCTTCTTCTTGCCTGAGGCGCCTGAGCTAGGTCTTCCAGATTTCGGAAGTCCACAGCCATCAGACGTGGTGAAATAATGGTTGTGATATATGACGGAAGAGATAGCCAGGATATGTTTGCTGCTGTGATTTTTGAAGGCCCACGATTCTTCGTAGCCATCGCCGTTGATGCAGTTCATGAGCGTGAGCTTCATCCAACCTACGACTAACTGGTCCAGGCACTCCGCGGACTTTCGTACTCGTCTGCCCTTAGGTATTTTGTGATGTCGTGGCTGCTGCTCTTATTTACCGTGCTCTTATTGATCGTGCCTTATTTGGATCGGGAAGGAAAATTTAATGGAGGGTCTCTAGGATGAGATGAGGATATCCTCGGCACATTGTCTCAAATCTAAGGTTACCCTCCTTGAAAGGCGTTCTTCTCTTGCGACGATCTGGCCATTGAGACGTCGGCATATTATGGACGAAGCACAGCTCATTTGAATGGTTGTGCAGTACTTACCCCACTGTTCGTTAGTCTAACGTTCCCGTCCCTAATTTGTAACATTTCATGAGTAATGGTATTGCCGTTTCCATTTCTTTCGGTCACGTACCGCTGCGTACTGTTTACAGATACTGAGAGGTTTGCAACAACCTGCAGTTTCGTAGGCTTATTAGTTCGGGTTATGGCCACTTTCGTCATCGTGTCGTTTGTTTTGCGTGAAGCCTATGGTTTCCTCTATGATAATTTCTTTGTTGTCTTGGTGATTCTGCACTGTGGACAGACAAACCAGAACCACAGAGAGAAGTGAATCAGTATCAACTCGTAGCACTCTCTAGGTACTGTAGTATCGCAGAAGTTACATTCGAAACAGAATCACAGGTTTTGACTAGTATCAAACAGACGATACAGATTGTCTACCAATGAATGGAAACAACTTTCATATATTCGAGAATCAATAAATATCCCAACTTGGTGTCCAATATTGATGGTTTCCTGTAAATGGTAGGAGGTTAATAAGGACACGTCAGTTTCGAAGCATGTGCTACGGGAGTACTCTAGACGAAGCTGAGTTGCAGGTGCTAACGCTTTTGTGACCGAATGAACATGAGCTCGTTTTCATTAACTGACTGTGGTTGGTCATGTTACAGTCAGCATTTCTGGTTGCCAATGCTTTGACGGATAGCAATACAAGTTGAAGAGGGTATCTTACAGAAGTGGTACCATTGGTATTATTATGACAAATTGTAGGAATCTCTGTCTATCTCGTAAATCTGATGATGTTTTGCACTGGTTTTGTGCCAGTCAGTTTTTGTCGGAAGTGCTTTGAAAGTTAAGGTGATAGTGTACAGTGCCTCGTATAATAGCTGACCACTATACCTTCGATATCATTAATATAAAAATGCCTAAGCTGCACTTTCTCCAACACCTTATGACGAAAATGCCCACACTACCTGTACACAATCACTTTATCAACTATAACGTATGTCCATCTGTGCAATAATAGTGTTGTCGTATTAGCGATACAACGAGTTTGTGTTCCCTTATTATCATTTAATTCCACCGTAATCAGAAAGTCTGCATAATAATAGAAATAAATTGATATTTCTGGCATAACAGATACACGACATTTCAATGAATCATTGTTCACTTTCTTCACAGTCAGCATCACGTCGGCTACAATTTTTTACTGTAGATCTGCTGGAAACGATTGATCAGTAGGCAAAATATAACTTGAAGAACTGCTTCACCCTAACACTAATGTATAGGCACAGGACCGTGACTTAAAACATCGGGAGTACTGTTGAAAACACCTGCTTATAGTATACATATCTGTTGGGTTTATTTAGTTTCTGAAGTGATCGTCATCCTAATGTTTAGTTTCGAATTAATGTTACCAGTGCTACCAAAACAGAAATACGGGGATCATATTCGATAAATTGATTTTAAAAACATTGAGATTTAGCGTAACACCTTACTTAGAACATCAACTCACTTATGAGGAATATGGAGCTCATTGAGTAAATTAAACGGGATAAAACATTAGGCTGGAAAGAAAATTTGTGAATGGAACTTCGGAATGGCGAATATCAAGCAAGTTATGCTCACAGGAAAGATTGTCGCAGTGTCTTTTGTAAAGTCTGATACATTATCTACAATTTCATGTGGGAAACATTAACCCTTTGTAGAAAGCCAGTGTATCTTTTAGGATATTTATCTGACTTAACAACCTTTCACAGAAAATATATGAGCAATTTCTACATTTTGATCTTTCCTGTAAATTGGCATGCCTCTTGTAACATTTTACTTGAGAATAAACCATTATTACTATTATTGTTAAAGATCACGGCAGCGACAGCTGAAAGTTCATTGGTAAGAAATGTTACATTAAGCGTTATAGAGAGATTGAAACCTTGATCATTATATGTGTCAGAGTCATGTTCTTCTGTGTTCACTGATTACAGGTAGTTCTTAGATATAAATAGAGGTAATTTGGTCAAGTTTTCATTGAATAGCTTTAAGTGAAAGACTTTTACGAAGAGAACGCAATTAGTGAAAAGGTAAGATTCATTATTAAAACCATTTCTACCAGTGTTCATTTAAGTGTACTTTTCGTTTATAACACTTTTTCACACCTGACCCAAATTCCTTCCTGTGAAATCGCCAGGGTTGAATTTAGCGTACAGAACATTTCTAAGGCGATTACCACGCTGAAGCACTCTTACATTGAAGGACCAGATGGTATCATAGCCAGCATGCTTAAAAATGGAAGCAATAATCTGTATTCTATTCTTCTTAAACTATTCACCATATCACTCTCCACAGAGTGTTACCCTACTAACAGGAAGACTACACATATCATGCCCACAATTAAATCTGGGCCTACAGCAAATGTTGAAAATTACTGACCCATTAACATAACTTCAGTAGTATCTAGGATGATGAAGAAAGTAGTTAAGGCAGAATTAATGCAACATCTACTTAGTAACATTCTGATATCGACCTCACAGCATGGGTTCTTGAGGTCTAGGTCGTGTGACACATGTCTGTTAGGTTACTTCAATGATATTACGCATAAACAAGACAAAGGGCTTCTAGTATCAATCCTTTTCTTCGACTTTAAGAAGGCTTTTGATAAGGTCCCACACAGAAGGCTTCTCCTTAAACTAAAATCATTCGGAATCAGTAACCCACTACATTCATGGTTCGCTTCATTCCTAAATGTGCGTCAACAAGTGGTTAAGTACAACGATTGTCTTTCATCACCAAGACCAGTAACCAGTAGAGTGATCCAGGGGAGTGTATTAGGTCCTCTCTTGTTTCTGATGTACGTAAACGATATATGTTATACTGTAAGATTCGGTAGAGCATGCTTATATGCTGATGCCCTGAAAATATCATACAGCTA